TATTATTCATTCATAAAAAATATTATTTGTTGCGCAGACGTATCAAGAAGCAGCTAGTTGGTGCAACACAGTTGGCGCTATACAAGTAATATTACGCCAATCACCTATGTATGTACAGTAACTACAATGCAATTTCCGATGCTGATATAAAATCAATAATTTCCTACCGTCGCAGCTACTAATAACTGGGTCCGTTCAGTAACCTTATCTGTATTGCATTTCTATTAATATCATATATAGTCACCTCGGTTTTCCTTCGTAGTGATAAATTCCTCCAGATATCGCGAGGACTGGTCCATCCAGCTTTAGCTTTATCATTGGTGACGTCGCTGACGTTACTTGAACATCTAGCTAACTTTGTGTTTACTACTCCGTTATTAAAAGCACGATTTGCCATTCTGTTGGCATTCGAACTGACAACGATAGTGTAAAAAATTCAGACGACACTAAATACTACGACGGCACATTTTACATATTTGTCACACACATAACTTTGGTTACTTGTAGAGCATATAAAACAACAATCACAAACACTAACACTACACATGCACGCCGCATATCTTAACGACTTTACTTGGTTCGATGCAAATATGCACGTCCCCGGATGTTGTATTATAGGTAGTAAAACCTATAAGAAATTTTATAAGTAATCAGTCACTAGTTACAATTGCGAGTGTGTGCCATTGTAATGATATTTTAAAACAAATAAGCAGTTGTAATATGAAGCACCATTCACGACTGTCACTTTGAGGTTAAGTTACTGGCAATACCGGCTGCCGGCTGTGTGCGGCGGGGCAGGCGAGCGCGTCGGGACGAATACACGGGCCGAAAATGAACGCTAAGGTAGTAAGTACGCTAAATCATTATCAGTTATCAGTTGATCACGAGGTTAACCTTCAATTCTACATATAAATACGTCTTTTGTACATACGATATATCTATAGCTATATATCTTTTATTAATTTCTATAACGAATCATGTATCACTTAAAAATTAATTATCTGACAGTATGGTTAATAAATTGAAATTATTATTATTAAATTGAAATTATTTTTTTTCTAGCTAAATATAATATAAATATATAATACAATACATAATTCATTTCTTATTAGGACCGCTGATATACGTATATATGTTTTATTACGTAAAATCTGTTAAAAAAGCAACTTGTGTGTATAAGATCCCTCCAACTCAGGTATGGAGTTAATTATGGCTATATCTATGTATAGACGGAAAAGGATCCAGCCCGTCACACTTATGGCCAACAAACACACAAAAGCAAGGGCCGATCGCGTTCGATTCAAATAAGACAAATTATATTGGGAAGGGCAAACTAAATCATAATACCATTGTATGAAAGACGAAAATTGGACGTTGCTTGAGAGTAGTTAGCTTTTTGTAAACAATGCAAGTGGAGAACGTGACCCAACCGCTTTTGCCAGATGATTTAAACAATATTAAATTTACAATTAATAAGTATTAACGCCAATACTATATTATACGCCATATATAATATACATGATTTGGACCAGAAATTTTTACTCAATAAATGTATATTCTCAAAGACTTTCCAATATTATTTTTTCACTACATTTCTATTAATGGACAAAGCATATACCATAATAAAATATTTGACCTTTATATGTTTACAAAATGAATAGCTTCATTTAGGTAAATATAAGATAAGGCTGTACAACCGATAACGAGCATTCCAAGAAAATTGTTGGTAACGTTGATAAAGAAACAGTCAGTGAAGTTTATACGAGTACGTCGAACAACTCATCTGGGCTACAAATAACCTTAACTGCAAAAGGTTTACTCGTATGATTATTTATATACCATTATAATGGTGTACACTTTCCTTATTGTAATAATAATTAAACATTTCAATGTTATTTATTTTGTTAAATTATAAAAAATACTTGTCATTTGGCCATGACTTTATCTGGGTGACCACGACTGACCGGGATAAAATTTTCCCTAACCATCATCATAAATGCCAATCGTTAACATAATTTTAAAACGAAAATTGGTTATCCCTTCAAGGAGGATTATTTATAATTTTCCAATAGTTCAAGAAAATTAATATTTTTTCATGAATTAATAAATGGTATCATTATTAATTATACTGCGAGAGAATTATATTATATTAAATGAGCAATTTAAGAATGAAAGATAAATCAAGTATATACATATACAATATTAAATGTCACAAAAAGGAGAAGGCATAGATATGTCAATAACATAAGCTTTTTCCACGAATTAAATGGTATTATTATTAATTACATTACAAGAGAATGATATTATATTAACAGTATAAATTAAGTATAAAGATATACAATATTCTAATGTAAAAATTTTAAAAGGAGAAAACATAGATATAACTAACATTCCGTTTGATTTTGGTTACTTTTGCAGGACTAAGATAGAAACAACAAAATATTATTTGTAAGAAATTCTTAGAGCTCTAGAGATCTACTCTTGAGTAAGTTTATGCTTATCGCTATCACGTTTGAAGGTCATGCATATACGATTGTAGATTTTGCATGTAAGAGAATCTAGAAAATATGATAAAATATACAAAATACAATGCTAAATCTTAAACATTTCATTAAGAAAATATCATTCCATAACTTACATTAACTTCAAATGTATAATAAACATCATTGCCCTACACTTCCATCAACTTGACTTCAGTCTAAACATTTTACGCTCAAACGTCTTAACGCTCGATTCAAACTTGAATGATCGACATAAAGCTTTTGACACGATAAAACAATATTGGGGGCTAATAGCTGAAACGTTTCAAAATTGATCAGGTCATGGTGCGACCATGAAACAGTTAATGTCTGTTTAGTGAATTCGACACATGCGAGCAGAATGGCCGACGCTGTAGGAGTTTATTTTTAACCCTGTAGACATGGGGTCAGTCACCCGCTTACCCCTCCCGCACACCGAACCAGTCCTATCACATAAGGAACTGCGTGGGAATATGGTGAGATGCCATACCAGCCATGTCCTTCCTTAGGATGGAATAAGTTTAAACATAAAAAAAAACAAGGAAACTATCCTTCGGGATGCTGGTCACGACAGCACTAGATTATTATGCAAAGATGGTGACCATGACTTTTTTGACTTGATTAACGAAGAATTAATTAAATGTTTAGTCAATATGACAAAGATATAGGTATGTGCTGCATCTTCGATAAAATAATTGCAATTACAATGAATCCAAATTTAAATTAGGATGTATATTGTTTCCCCTATGCTGTTTATGAAACAATATGTAACTAAACATGAGCAATTTATAATATATAAATTGCTCATGTTTAGTTACATATTGTTTTAATTACAATCTGTGAAACCATAACAGAAAAGAAGATAAAGCCATAGATCTGTATTTAGTTACTATTAGATATTCCTTTTATGTCTTCACTAGCTGTGCCCACGACTCCACGCGGAATAGTGACCTTGATATTATTTTTAATTCATCATCACAAATAAGACACATAATTATAAATATTTTTAAATATCATAATAAAGAAGCTATTTGCAAAAAGCTCCAAGATGAATGGCAATAATGGTATTAAAAATACTTTCAAGGTTCTAGCTTTAAAATTGATGATCCTGCTATACAACCTTTCATCTCCCCATTCAACCCCTTAAACAAACTTAACATAAACTTAATGTAAACATAAAAAGTAGCCAAGTCTTTTCAGGATCCATACTATTTGTGTACCAAATTTCATTTAAATCGGTTCAGTAGTTTTAGCGTGAATCGTGACAGACAGACAGACTGACATTTATAATATTAGTAAGAATTTATACTTTGATACATTTTGTTTAAAGTATCCGCATTTGTAAAATATTTAACAAAACTTTCAGTTATATATACCTACTTAAGAATAGAGTCGTAATCACTAAACGCAATGAAGGCAGGATTAAGCCAATTTTTGCATATTAAATGAAACTACTGTATCCGTCCGCAAAATAGGTACGTAAAAATTTAATTTTAGTCTAGTTCCAAGATATATTATGTTTAAACACAGATTTTCCATACTATAGTATTATACGGTTTTATCGTTTTATTTAAAACGTTAATATTTATTATAGTTAACGTTATTACATTACGTATGTTTAGATTAAAACTTAATTGATATCATTCTATTATAAATATTAATTTAAATTGTGTATTGGTATACACAGTCTAGTATCTCAACAATCTACTCACTGAAAAAATAAATTCTACCTACTTTAAGTAGCCAGTTAGATTGACCTAACTTGAGAATTCGCCGTAACAATCTCTTCAATTGTTTTTATATGACGTTAACAGAGAAACTAATGAGCATATATAAAAATATGTATCTAACTGTATTTCAAAACTAATCTGTGATTATCATGCTTAGCATACTATAGTTCATGTGTATTTAAAAAAGACTGTTGAAGTATATGTATATATCAATTGTCTAATTCATTAAAGAAATTAGTAATGACTAGGGATTCTTATTGCCCGAGAATCAATTTCATTAAATTTTTAAACTATTAACTAAACTAACTGAATCTCAGACAATATGATAATGTAAACACCGATTACTTGTTGAACGTAACATACGCCAACACCAACTATTAGCTGTTCTACGATAACATGTACTTAGATCAGTTTCAATGCAAACAATAATGCACATATTCAGCTTTCACATTAAAGTATAACTCAGATACTTCATTTATTCTTTTCAAATATAACACTATGAAATAATTAAACTCTTTATAATTTGTAGGGCGTATATTAGAAACCACAGTAGTGTTTATTACTAGCGGCACACTTGAAGTGCTTCGAATTATGGAACATTATGTAGAAGATACCTATAACACGTATAAAAACATTTAAGCAACATGGGGTCGTCCAAGCTAAAGTAACGATAACTCCCTATTTCGGGGTGCGTTAGATGATTAGGGGAAAAGTCTGAGGGTGTACAAGATGTACTAGCAAGGGGACTCACCGTAGCCGTGTCAGTAAGGGTGACGGTAGCAGAGGTGGGCCCACTACTGCTTGCGCCAGTATTATTAAGGGATGCCACCTGGTTGTTAGAACTTTGTTCGATAATTCTTTGTCGTAGAGCCAATCTTTCAAGGCTAGCTAAGCGATGTGAACCTCCTGTACCCTCTCTGTCTCGTTCCCGCAGACCTGTTGTGCTACCTGCACTGAAAGATCCGCTATACTTGGGCAAAATTGGCGGTGGAACCGGCCTGGCGGAGCCACCGCGACCGAGTAGAGAACCGCTGGATGTGTACGCGTAACTACTAGGAGTTCCAAGTGTCGCGGTACGTGGAGCTGCACCAATGCCATTGAGCGCTCCATTAGTACCGTTGACGGCGCCACTATTCACCGTCGTCGTACTGCCGTTCATCTCCTTAGAGTCAACTCCGTCATACGATGTAACAAAATCACGCACAGATTGTGAGTCACCGAGTACGCACTACGATACGATCGCAAGTTGCAGCGATTGAAGTAAGAGCGTTCAAGCCGGGTGCCCGTCGGAGGCGGTTTGACAGCTCAAGCGAAGCAGACGAGGCGCGCGGGCGGAGTCGCACGACACCCCGCACTCGACACCGCCGTCGCTACACCAACACTCGCCACCGACCCCAATGTATCTCAGAAATACACGTCTGGCCGCCTCGAGGGTTGGGAATGCATTGCTTACTTTGCCTGCCGTCTGTTCTCTGTCAAGGTCAACAAAGATGTACAGTACCTATATACAAATGCCTAGATTACATTTAATGTGTCTTTTTTTATATATCCACAAGCACATATTGTTATCATTATAAACGCCTAATACTTTAGATAACATTTCATAAATGTCGTTCTTTGTATTATAACTAATATTTTTTTGTTATCGATACATTAAAGACTTCTGTCTCTTCGATATGTAATTATTTTTTCCTAGATATTTGTAAGTCTGATAAGATACATATACATATTTACTCAGAATAGAGACATAGATACAATAATCCTGGTGAATACAGTAAAGCAGTAGGTGATTTACTAATAAGCATAAGAGATCAAATTCGAAATAGTTTATGACAAATAGTCGCAAAGTTGACACAGCGTACACAGCACCTACTTATATCAATACCCGCAATGTTTTATCGTCTGTGAGTTACATAGTGAAATCAATGGGTTTGAATAGCTAAAGGAAGTGACATTTGGTTCATCGACCTGACCCCAAGACGACGATTGATGCGGCTGGAGGACTATTAGCGGAAATACTTTTAAGGTACAGAGAATACTTTGCTTTACAATCATGTCTCGACACATGATTAACAACACAAGCCCACAAATAACATTTTGTTTCTAACAAATGTGTACATTAGATACTTTATCTCATGTACTATTTCGGATTAATCCGGGTTAAATAATAAATTTTTTCGGAAATCAATTATCAAAATGTCAGTCCAAACTATACCGCGTTAATACTATCAACTGCGTTGGCTTATTGAAAGCAACTAACTAATATATCGACTAATAATAATTATATGTATAGCATTAGAGAAGAGTATTATTTATTTGCTGATGTAGACTTTACAAATGCAATAAGCACGTGATAGTCGCATGTGGCGGTGTTGTTATCTAGCGATCGACCGTCACAACGCGCAGGCGCCACCGCACCCTCAATCCTGCGACCTTCTCTGCAACCCTTCGGTGCATTAGGGGTCGCTATTTGGTCGGTATATGCTTGTTGCATTCAAAAATACCGAATAGTTAATTTCTTATTTTTCTAACCCCATCCATTAGAGTCGTGAGTTTTTTATATTTTAATGTTTTTAATTTTTAGTTTCTTTTTCTATGTCTTTGGTATATGCTCAGGAGCATATTAAATGAAATATATTATATATAGAGCATATTTTTTAAATTTATTATATTACTACTAAATCTTACTCATATTAGAGAAATTAAATAATACACCTAAAAAACCGACAGACGATATACCGTCTGAAAAGCAGTCCCATTTACAGGGTCATTTTGTGTTTTTAACCCATCGAAATACACACACACAAAATTTCATCCAAATCGGTCTATTCGTATAACACTAATTAGGTGACGAATACACGTACGGAAAAATTATAAACGTGTATTAAGATATTTTGTTAATATATGTATTGAATATGTCAGGTTGTAGAAAGTAAGTAAAACTTGATTTTCAGGTCCTTCCGCCGGCAGTGTTAACCATTTTATGCAACGTAAAATGTAATAAATAATTATAATAAGTGTTACATGCATACACTGTAAATATTTAATTTAGGTGACTGTTATTTCAAGTATGTCGGTCACTAATCGATGTGCTCGGAATAATTTACTAATCTAACTCAATAGTAGTCTTCATACATACATACAATACGTTAAGTATGTACTAGAATATTATATAAGTAAAGCTTTCACTTGTGCGAATTATATTTAACCACCTTTCTTTTGGAATTTGCAAAGTAATCTTATTGATGCCGATTTTGAATCTAATGACTTTGTATTGAGCCTATATCTTACAATGAGTAATTTAGCTTTATCAGAAGCTTTTTATTTATTAATTCATTTATTAAGTCAAATTACATATTGCAACATAATGATGTGTCACTGAAACGTCGGTACTACAACTCTGTTAGAAAACAACATTTTCATACATTTTAATAGTTAGTTATAGTTACAACAAATCCATAGCTTTTTTCTGTAGTACCAATATTCATTATAATATCTTTATAGTCTCCTCAAACTTTATGGTAACTAATTGCATATCGACTGAACAACTGCAAGTATAGAGATCATCGTATGCGAAAGTCGAAGCATCGAACAAGGGACTTTATAAATGATAATAAAATATACCAGATAAATATCCTGATAACGCCATGAGTTAGGTACTTGATGTAATATACTTTATTAAAATTATCAAATCAGCTACAGAAAATGTTCAAAATTCATAATCTCTCTGATCTAAACATCTGTGACAAACTTGACAAATGGCAGTGATAAGAACAGCATTCTTAACATCATTGCCATGTAGTAAATTTACCAATTCTGATGTCTCTTAAAGTGATACACATTTCATTTCGAGGAATAATGAAACGACATCTATTGGCATATAATAACAGGAAGATACAGTTTCTTAATCGAATAGCATAATAGCAATAGAAAATATATTATGGTTTCACACTTGCTCTGTTGTGCACTCAAGCATGCCTTAGTTGCTCAAGTAAACGCGATTATTCGATAGATGGCGTTATAACATAATACCTAGTAATAATATAAATTTTATGTTATATAGTTATGTCTTATTTTACCTAAGCAAGCATAAAAATGCTTTCAATTTTAGTTTTTAATTGTAAAAAGTATTGACTGGTGCCTTAATACGACTGTTGGAATTTTATATAAATTCAGATTATATATTAATCATTGCCATTCCACCATATTTCATTAAAAAAGCACAACACTTCTTATATATACAGCAGTATTTTTAAAATCTATATATTTAATTTCTGTTTTGAACTACATCTGGCACAATATTAAGTTAACATCATATAGCAGTCTTTTGCTCATTTCGTAATGTTCATATTGATTGAACATTTGTAAAAAAAAAAAACAATTACTCTAATACAAATTGAACAAGGATTCAATTACATTATTCTTGTTGTAATGTACAAGAAAGTTTATTGAACCGTAAACTTGTTGAATGATATAATAAAGATGTGGTTACACAGTAACAGTATTAAACAGAAGCAAGCACAAACGAAACGGCAATAAAATGTAATATTATAAATAGAGGCGTACCTGTTTTCTTGAACACATCAATTAGTATATTTTTATACCTTTTGCTAACTCCACTCAAAAATGACCACAGGTAAAAAAATATTAATATATAATATTTGTACTATTACTTTCAGTTTTAACATATTTGTAACTCAAATAGTCTATTTATATGATCTAGTAAATTATGAAGTTTTGTACTAAATTTGACTTAAAACCCGATTTGAAATTAGCATAAATATCAAACGCTTTTTGAATCGCTACGCGTGCCCGCTTTTGAAATAACATATTTTCAATTTTAAGTATTTTTAAAGTATAGATAAAATAAATTTTAAAGTATAGTAAATGGTAAATATTTTTATAGCAAATTTCAGTACAAATTGAAATTTGCTATAACAATATTTACCTTCTGAACAACGACCCTACTCTATAAAAGTAGTGATGATTTTATTTCTAGTGCCACTAGAAATAAAATCATCACTACTTTTATCGAAATCAAAACTGTTATCTAAATAATTTTGACTTAATATTTTTCTTAACTGTCATAGGCTAGTTTAATGTTAGTAGATTCCATCTCACGTCCTCTCAGTCCTTTGAATAGGATTGTAAACCCATTAGTGTTTAATATTTGTGATTTTTCTTTGAAAACTTTGATTATACAAAAACTTTTGTTCATAATAGTGCTCTTTGTGCAACGATCAATAAAGTTTTCGTATACTGCGTCGTTATACGCTAAGAATTTCCCGAAATTCCTAGAGAAATACGGAATAAATTTGTTCACGCGGACAAACTCACGGTAAACATGTATTCTTTAATACAATATACACACTACAGAATAATAACTGTCTTACAGTATACGATTAAATAGAAACATATGTATGGTTGATGTTAGCAAACAGTTGGTAAGCTTCATTCGTTAATTTATGTTACCGCGCCGAACGTACTGATGATATCTGATTGGTAAAGTGAATCTCGTTATATCTACACATACGATAAAACAGTATCCCGCCGTGTCTGTCTACAATTTTAAAAACTACTGAACTAATTCCCGTGTGATTTTCATCTATAAACAAAGTAATTATACCCGCATGAAGCCGAGACACCTCGCTAGTTAAAATTATGAAACATATTATCAAGGTATATCGTAAAAGTCAACACTCAAAGGTCTTTAGAACTATATACATGTAAGTACATATGTAATTATATTGTTTTTTGTTATGTATTTTCCGACTCATAAATCATAAATAATAATAATCACGACTGGATACTTTTATATATTTAAACAATATTAATTGTTTACAATAACAAGACACGATATAATTGTTCTCACACACAGTCTCACAATACTGTTCTTCCATGTACCTACTCTAAAACATTATATTATCCGTTTCTTATACTTCAAAATCAAGCTAGAAATTTTATGTCTTATGCGCTATAATCATTTAAGACGACGTATCGCAAATATTGACGCAATATCAATTTTTATCAGCAATTACAAACCATTCGAGGCTAATATTAATTGCATCAAGAATACATTTAATTAGTCGAAAATTGTATTATTGTACCTAATGATTTGGATTAATGTTGCACATTATCATTAGCGTATCTTTTACATGTTTTGCTTTGATTTTTGGTTAGAATTTTCTTTTCCTTTGTTTTTTGTGCATTTATTTTCTTTACTTTAGTTTGTGGTCTATCAATTAAGATAATGCCATTCATACTAACTATACATAAACATTAGAATTTGTGGATAAGATAATTGAAGCATCTTGACAAGAACTGGTGGATTATATTAAAAATTTTAAGAAATCACTTTAAGTATACCTATATCATGATGAGTGCCACGAACATTATGTCCTCATATGATAGTCTTACTATATGAATTAAACACAGTATTGTAATGACATG